TTCAATATCTGTATATTTTTTTCATTAGGAACCATTAGTAAAATTTTATCGCACCATGTTAGTGATAAGCCCAAAAAAGTTCTAAAAAGCACATTCGGATTGAGATGCGCGGCTTAACTGTTGTATAGAGAATTTCCTTTCGAGAAATATAGGCTATAAATCATTGCGATATCTCCTGGGAAGGGCGAAAGCACTAAAGAAAAATTTTCGGGAAATCCGATAAAAGACATTTTTAACTACGTCCAACAAAAACGTATCAATAGAAAAAAAGAAAAGATTTCTGTGTATCGGAGTTTTAAATTCCACAAAATTTGTATATTTATAAATAAATCCATATAAATAAATACTTGGCCAATAGAACATTTTTTAAAAGAAACATTTACAATGTTTATGTATTTTTTTTAATGTACAATATTTTTTATACTTTCATAAATATTTAAAAAAAAAATTCAAATATTGCGATTTATGAAAAATCTCTTATTTTCAATCTGAAATATCTTTAAAAATACTGTTTAAATATTGTTATGAAATAGGTGGTTACAATTTCATCACTGTCCCAAATTGACTGAATTTTTTATTAACCATTGCCAAAACACTTCTTGTATATTTTTTTGCCTAGCCAATATCACAGATTTCCATATTCTTATTCAAATGAGATATATAAATAGATTTACGACCCGTCATAATTTACCCGCTCAATAAAATATGTCATTTATTTTTGGTAAAGTGACATGCAACATTTAAAGAAGTTAAATGTACTTTGGATGGTAAGAAAATGTAATTTCTTATCGAGACATTATATTTTTAGTACAATCGCCAAACAATAAAATTTTGTCACGCCATCATTAAAAAAAATCAGTACGAAAAATATATACAGGGTGTTCCACGTTCGTGCTCCATTAAAAGTATACCATACTATTTTCACATCGTATGTTTTCTATTGAAATGCATGTTTACAAATTACAAAAAATGTGAAAAAAACGCGTCTTTTATTAATTTTATTAACGCCATAGATACCGTCAACTCACCCTTTAAGGTTTCATGATGTACAAAATATTATTTAAAATTTTTAAAATTGTTAAATATCATTGAAATTATTAACTTTAGGTTTAAGGAAACGGGTGTAACATTTAAAATAAAAAAAAATATTAAAGTAGTAAGTTAACCTAATTTTCCTTGGGGTTTCTTAGGTAATTTGTTGAAAAATGATAAAGAATTGTTTAAACAATGTTTTAAGATTCCAAAAAATTCACCCCCATGTCCGCAATCCTAATAACAAAATAGTTAGAGGCTATTTTTCATTGAAGCGTATTTATTAAAAAAATGTCGAAAAAATTAATCTCGAAAACTATTAACTTTAGGTATAGTAATTTTACTCGGAATTTTATGTAGAATTTAATGAGGTAATAATTTATTGAATTAACAAAGTTGATGTAACTTAATCCTTTAGAAAAATAGACTTAATAATATCAAATCAATATCTTTTTTACTAATAATCAACAATAATTAAATAAAGTTAGTCCACAAAAAATTTTTAAGGTGTATTTGAGACATAACATATTGTTGTTCTAACGAACAAAATACTTGTTTTTATGAGCCATCATGTAAAAAAGGTTTATTAGCTAGTTTATAATTCTCGTCTCATTTCAAAAACCTAGTCCACTTCTCTACAAATAAAAATAAAAAGCATATGTGGTGGGACGTGTTTGGTTTAATGAAACTCTTGAGAAATGAAAAGCCGACTCTCCCTTAGATGACAATAATGACCGTAAGGGTAGTTAGTGCAACTGTGTGACCTCATCCAACGGGTTTTGCATGAATTTACAGGAGACCTTAAGGCGGCCTTTTGTGGAGAAGGTAAATCTAACCGCATAATAGTAAATTGAGGTTTATTCTGTCTCACTGATTTACATGTCGAGTGTAGGTGTACGTTACAATTCAAATGAGATTTTCTATTCTGCGTCTTTCGAAAAGTTTAGAATGCTAATGTTTTAATACTCCACAGGTACTTTATTTAAATTGGGGCTTTGTTTATTTACATATTTATAGGTCAAAATCAGAAGAAAAAAGCAGATTAACACATTTGAGGAGAGACAAAAATTTTAATAACGCAATCCTAATAAAAACGCATTTAAAAAAATAATATTCTTCCCAATGTAGTCAGTTTAACTCAATTTTACAGCAAATTTAGGGTACCTTAAAAATGCGATATCCCATATCGTTTCAAAACTAAAATAAAACGTTAAATTTAAAAATTATTGCTAAATGGTTTTATGACGCTTTATCAAAAATTTACGACATTAAAGTTTAAACGTAAAAGGTTCAATAAAGCCCTAAAATGGCTTACTTATCCAAATTGTATGTAAAATAAAATTCCTTTTTTATTATACAATTTATTTCAAAAAATTCCCATTCGAAATTATAATTAACTTATTAAATTATGAATATTAAAATTTATTAAATAAATATGTAGTATAATTAAAATTATTAAACTTTTTTAATACATTATGCTCAAATTCAAGCCCCTAAGCTTTTTAGGTAGGTATTTACAGGAATTAATTAAATTTGTTTTCAAACGAAATTAAATTAATTGAAGCAAAATGTACAGGTAAATTTTCCCTTTAATCAAGAATTTTCCCTAAATAACAAAAGTTAGCATTTATCGCATAATTATTTTTATTTTGCACAACTAATTGCTTTTAACTAATTATGTTTATTTATACCAAAAATATTATAGAATAAAAAATATTATTCATTTCTCTATAATAAATCATAATGTAGTTCATTGAACTCTTAAATCGAAAATAATAAAATATGTATACATAAGTAAGCGTTCCAAATCAAATTACGATTAGGTATAATACCACCAAAAATTATTTTTCACACTTCCTTTTTGCATTTGTCAAGGGTCAAAGTGTCGTTAAAAAAATCAATTTTTACAACTTATACAAGAACATAATTGGTCGTTTGCGTGTTGTACAGTGCCTTATTATGGTTTACGTTATGTCATATTATTGTAGGTGTTTTATCTTCATTAAGCATGTCACACACAACAAGCCCGATCTATTTGTTGTCGCCTACATAACAGAGTTAAAGTGTGTAAGTGGATAATATGGCTTAATAACACTACATACTAAACAGAAACTGGCTTTGTTAAAATAGAGGTTGCCATAAATGATATAATATATTACTAAAATTATAAAACTTAATTTGGTTATAGAAATATTTATATCACTCTTATATACGTCTTAAAGAACTTAACACTAGTTTTATAACATCTTAATAAGGCAAACACTCTATTTACCTGATTACAAAAACACAACAAAAGCAATTACTTGGAGAAGTCATGTATTTATTATTTAAATAAAGTTTTTGGGAAATGCGATATAACCGTGATCGGGACAGATTAAAAGTTGGAGCAGGTCACGTCAGCTCAAGCTCTTGCAAAGGTTGAACTTTAGAATTTTTTTTCCCTACTTTTGGCGTGTTATCTAGGATTTAAAACTTTTACGTGAAAATAAATAACTACACCGACAGATTTGGCTTTTAAAGTTACTTCGATCAGAAAGCTTATTGAAATCAATAATTTAAAAAGGTTTTTCGTTTTTTTTATTAATATCCACATATATTTTTTTGAAATTCAGAAAACCAGTTCTTAGCTTTAAAGTATCAAGGTTCAATATTAAGAAATGTTGTTACTGGGAGACTATCTTCTTGGTCTTCAGACTTTAGTACCTGAGATTTTTTGTGTAAAAACTGGTTTGGGAAAAATAAACATCACATGAGCTGCAGCTCACGTTATTAAAAATGTTAAATGTTTATATCCGAATAGATAATAGTTTATCATAGAGCATAAATCTTTTTTCAAGCTTATACATTTTTTTTATATAACACTCATAAAAGTATATACAAACGTGCTATTTTAGTTTTACCCTTACTTTCTAAGAAGGACTAATACACAAAAGGAAAAACACAAATAAACAACCATACCAATGTAGGACTCGAACCCACGTCCTCTTAGTTGTAGCATTTCAAAAGTCAAATTATTATACACCGCCGTACAATAATGATAATACATTGAAATTACACTGTTCCATTTATTGCGTATTTTAAAAAAATAAAGTTTTAAGGTCAGTTTAATATCTCATATAAAAACTAAACAAGGTCGATAATTTAAAAACAAAAGCTGATATAAAAAATATTTGCTTGACTTTTAAAACGTTGTTTATTTAGAGTAATGTTTTTTTTTGTGTTATAAATTTATACTTTTAAACACAAACAAATACATAAATTGCATTATTTACGCAAGTATAAAATTTTTATTTAAAAACAATTTTCTATTTGCTATTGTTATATTTTGTTTTCGTTCATTAAGTATTGGCTAAATAATTATAGAAAGCTTTAATAAACATTACCCTACTTACAACGTATATTTTTAATATCGATTACACATTATTTTTTTTACGCCATTCCAATTTTAACGATTTTCTTGGAAAAATTATGGAAATACCCCTTTTCCTGTACTTATGCAGATTTTACGAATTCGTAAATTTTCAGGTATATTGAATTTTTGTGTATAAAAATAGTATATTTGTTTCGCTAAAATCAAATTATCTTAATAACTGAAATTTAATAAAGACAAAACTGCATATTGCAATAACAAAAACTTGTCAGTAAATATTGTTTTTGATCACGCGATTTTGTAATTTTAATACACTTTAATACAATGTATGGAGTATATCAAGTTTGATTTTATCGCGAAGTTCTTATCACGTTAACACGTATTTTTACATACAAATTTAGATATAACTCACAGAAAATTGTTATTTCAAGAAATACAATAATCCCTCATTAAGGTAAAAATGCACCTCTATCAAAACTACTATTTTAACCCTACCTCTTTACTTTTATACCTAGCATTATAGGTATTATTATTTCACTATATCTAGTCTGAACGATTTTCAAACACTACACTCTGTCTTACAACCCATCAACAAAAAATGCCTGGTTCAAGAATCTACATAGGCAATCTGTCTTACGACGTCACCAAACGAGACATAGAAGACTTCTTTAGAAGCTACGGAAGAATAGAAGAAATCCTCCTCAAGAATGGTTATGGCTTTGTGGAATTTGAAGACCCAAGAGATGCCGACGATGCTTCCTACGATCTAGACGGTAAAAAGTTACTTGGAAAGCGCGTTACCGTGGAGATGGCAAAAGGAACACCCCGCACCAGTTCTAGAGACGCTCCTAGATCATCCAGAGATAGAAGTTATAGAACTAGGAAGCCTGTAAGAACCAACTACAGGTTGATAGTGGAGAATCTAGCGTCAAGCGTGAGTTGGCAAGATTTGAAAGACCACATGAGATCAGCCGGCGAAGTGACCTATGCCGATGCCCACAGACCATACCTCAACTACGCAATAATCGAATTCGCATCTTACAGAGATATGAAACGAGCCATAGATAGGTTCGACGAAACTGAAATTAAAGGACGCAGAATCACTTTGACCGAAGACGATGAAACAAGACGCAGAAGAACCAGATCCAGATCATCCTCTAGATCAAGATCCAGGAAGAATAGGCGTAGATCTAGCTCCAGTGATTCCAGGTCCAAGTCGTACTCGAGACGCAGAGGATCTAGATCAAAATCCAGGGATAGAAGTACAAGCAAGTCCCGTTCCAGATCAAGAAGTTATACGCCCAAGAAGTCCAGGTCATATGAACGATCTGTGCCCAGATCTAGGAGTAAGTCCCACAGAAGGTCCGCCTCCATTTCACCGTCAAGGTCTTTCAAGAAAAAATGTAGGACCAGGGATTCCAGATCCAGATCTAAGTCTAGGAGTAAGTCCCACAAAAGGTCTTCCTCCATTTCACCGCCAAGGTCTTTCAAGAAGAAATGTAGGGATTCCAGATCCAGATCAGTATCCAGGCCAAAAGACCACTCTAGGTCTAGATCGGTGTCTAGAACAAAGGATAGGTCCAGGGATAGATCAAGGTCAGTATCAAGAAGTCCAAGACGAGTTTCTAGATCTAAATCTAAAACACCAAGAGGTCATTCAAGATCTAAATCAAGGAGTCCAAGGAAATATTCTAGATCTAAATCAAGAAGTCCAAAGTCTAGATCTAGGTCTAATACTAGAGATTAGGTTTATAGAATTTATGTATGATATCCTGGATAATATGGCAATAGTTATGTTGAGTACTAATTTTAAGTTTTAAATTAATTTTAGTATCATTAAAAATGTAATGCAAAAAATAATAAATGTTTAATAACCAATATCTGATTTTTTTTTACCTTACTGCAGACATCAATATAAAATTTACCTGAAAAAAATAAACTAATTAATATAATGATATAGAAATAACTATAATAATATGTACAGGGCGATTTATTAATTATACTAAAAAAATTAAGCAATTCCTTGCATTTAAAAATATCTTATTTTTCATAATATTTAAAAACCTCTTAAAATAACAATATAATTAATAGTTATTGTGTCATTAGGCCAAGAAATTAGGGTTTTTGTGCTGAAATAAAAATTTGAAGGAAAGCACTAAAAGAATTATTTTTCGAATAGCATAGCATGTTACCTTTAAGGCACAATTTTATTTGTAAACTATAAATAAAACGTGCAATTATTATTATTAAAAATATAAAGTAAGGTTAAATAAATCGAACAGTAGACGAATTGTTTGATTGGTCCAAAGCAGCAATTTATGAATTTTACGGCCTAGGCCATAAATAATCTTACGGTAAGATTCTTACCTAATTGTTTTACATAATTTTTAAGTGCCTAGACATGTTTTTAAAATTTCCTCAAAACTGTACAAAACAAACTAAAAGCAGAGGCATGGCATACATCCATAGCTACCCATTAATTTAATAAAGAAATAAGGGTTTAGATAAAAAAATATATTTTTTTAAATTGTATCTGAAAACAAATCTTTTCCGAAAACTATGTAGTAATATGATGTTTTTATTTTCATACAAGGAATTTTATCCCGAATTTTTTGTCACTCTGTATAATTGCCTAAAACACTTTAAACTGTTAATTAAAAAAAATTATTGTGATTATCTAACATTGAAAATAACCTTTTCTAAAAAATCCTTTATCTTAACTGAACTAAAAAATGCCTTAATTTCCTGTTTTTCTTTAAGGTAAAAAACAATTCACAAGATAGAAAGAAGATAAGAATTAATTTTGCCCACAAACGCCAGAACAAAATATTAGGCACATTAATTACAAAAAATAGCGCTTTTAAAATAACGGCGTATCTGGTTTTTTTCAAAGTACATATTACTTCCATTACTTCGCACGTAAACGTATTACGCAATGCGTCATATAAATTGGACAGTTTGCTTACCTACACAAACAGTTTATTGGTAGTTTAGTTTTGCTGTCGTTTTTTGTAATGATCTCTTTCCTTTCTACGTTGAATAGGAGCGGAAAGTGTGTATTAACTTTTTGTGTAATATGGTTTATTAGAGAAATAATGACTTTTTTGTTAATATTTAATACAAGGTTTTAAAAGATCTTAAAAGATTGCTATACAAATTTCAAATCGATAACTTTTTCCGTTCTCTATAAACTTCTAATGAGTAGGTGAATCATACTGTATATTGTCATGTCATGTCCTGGTATTTTTAAATATGGATTACAGATTTTAAAATTTGCTTTTGAATTGTTGTTTAAAGTCAAATCGCTAAAGAAAATTAATATGCAAATCATCAACCACTCCTCTGTAAACTTCCGTTTATCTTCGACCCAAAGTGCATAACCGTGGCTGCTGCCGCCTCGAAAAGGGAACGGGGGGCGGGGATCTTGAACCGCCGCCGCCGCCTCTTGGTGCCGCCCCCCATGTTGATTTCAATGTCAAGGGGGCCCGTGGAATGTGCGTGCCGCAAATTTGAATATCATGCGGATGCCAATAAACGTTGGCGGCGTACCCTAGATGGCGGCCGCTTAGATTTATAATCCGGGGGAAGCGCATTTTCATTGTACAAAAACGGTCCACGCTGGTATCTGGTTAACTATAATAAGATAATTTCAAGATTTAGATTGGATGATGCAAATCCTTCTGACAGTTTGGTTGTTATTGTGGTTTCTCTGGGGCTACATGAACAATGGGGTAGTTAAATTTTGTCTGACCTATACTTTTTATGGGTTTATTCAAGGCGTTTTGTAATTTTAAACATTTCTGTGAAATCAGAATTTCAATTGAGTTTACCGTTTTCGAGATATTTACAAAAAATATAAATTTTTATGACGTCACAAACCTCGCCATGTGACCAACATTCTAAGATTTCTATTGGTTGAAAATTACCCTGTTGTCAAGTTGTCTTGTTAATGATTTCATTCGGTTATGTCAGAAAATACCCGAAGAGGTTATGTACAAATACTGTCACTGTTAGTTGGGTGAAAGGTGGTCACCAAATTCATTAAGTACCTATCTTCCTTATTACGAGGTATCATATTACTGTTTGATATTTTAGAGTCCAAGATATATCTAAAAGAACATAAAGAACTAGGCATTATACTAATGAAATGCATTTACGACAAAATATGATTATAATTATAGTTACTTACTTTATTTCTTTAAAAGCTCCAATGTTCAATGTAACCAACCATTCCACAAGATTCCTCTGCTTTGGAGTCCGTTATTAATAAATCACTTATCTAATATCAATTACAAATAACATAACAATAACATTGATTTTCAATAATCTAAATTTAAAAAAAACATAACCCGATAAAAAGAAACGTCAAAAAATCAATTCTTCTTCTTCTTCTCAACTAAAATTATAGATCAAGTGGTTTTAAAACTAAAATATTATAACGTGGCGCCATCTATCGTAGGAATCTTAAACTAAACACACTGGCAACCATAGAAAAAGCTGGCAACGTTGTCAATAGCCTAGTGACGTAATTTTTTTGTAAATATCTCGAAAACGGTAAACTCAATTGAAATTCCGATTTCACAGAAATGTTTAAAATTACAAAACGCCTTGAATAAAACCATAAAAAGTATAGGTCAGAAAAAATTTAACTACCCCATTTGGTGTACCAGAGCTAAGTTAACTACATTTTTACTAAGCAGATGCATAGTAAAATTACAAAATGTTGTATTGTATTACAATTTTAATAAGCATTTGTTGTAATATTCACCTTAAGAAACCAGGCATTGATGTTAAAAAACTGTGATATTTTACTAAATAACAATGTGTTAAAGACTGTGTTAAAAATCTAGGTGTTATGTTTGACTCTAATTTAAAATTTGACTCTCATATAAGAAACAAACTTAAAATGGCATATGCCAAACTCAAGTCAATATATAGTTTTAAATATTTTTTAAGTAGTCTTTTTAACTATTGTAGGTGTGTCTATTTTACTATAGTTACAAAACTGGCAAAAATGTGTGCAAAAGCTGCAAAACAGCTGTTTTCGATATTCTTTTAACACAAATTATCGTGATCATATTACTCGTCATTATATTCAAAACAACACTTTAAAATGCAGCTATCTATTTTTATTACAATATAGTGTTTTAGTATTTAAAGTAGTCAAAACAGAGTCTCCATCTTATTTGTACGATTTTCTTATAAAACGAAACCAATGTCACAGCTTAAATTTAAGAAATAATCAGTATTATTCAATTCCTAGTCATATAACCTCGAAATTTGAGAAAAGCTTTGAATATTTTGCAGTAAAGATTTTAAACAAATATCACGATATTTTTAACTCAACATACTCTTTAAATAGTTTTAAAAAAATTCTCCAATCCACTTTGCTAAGTCAATTTTAGTGTAGTAAAATTTAAATATATTTTTTGTAAGTGTGTATTTTTTACCAATCTACCTTGTTATTTTTTGTATTATTAAGTAGGTTTAGAATGGAAGAACAGCATCAGCTGAATTCTCGCCTATTGTATATATATATATATATACAGGGTGTTTCATAATATATGCGCAGGACTTCAGGATGTGATAGCTCATCCAAAAAGATGAAAAAAGTCGCTATTAACTTACGCTCTAAAATGCACAATTTTCGAGATACAGGGTGTTGAAAGTTTAGAAAAAAATTCGTTTTTTTTCGAATATCTCCGGAACCGTTTATCCTACAAAAAACAGCTTCTGTAAGCATTTTTCTACTCAAAATAAGCTATGTTTTGTGCCGGAAAAAATTTTTTTTTCCTCATAATTGGTGGAGATTTTGAAGGGGTAGCGGGTGTTTTTCTCCTTAACTTCTACGCCCCTGAAAAAAGTACGGTTTTGAGAGGCCCATTCGAACCGCCAATGTTTTCTACACAAAAAAGGTACTCTTGGTCATAAGCTCTAAACTTGACCGTTTTCGAGAAATCAACTTTTATGATTAAAAACATGGTCAATTTAAAAAAAAAAATTTTTTTTTACTAATTAAACAAAATTTATTTTAACATTAGAACAAGTAACAAAACCAAACCATAATTTTAAAATAAAAAATGATTCAAAAGTTGTCTTTGCTAAATTCTCCAAACCGTAAAGGTAACGCATTTCGCACATTTCAGCATTTGTGTAAAAAATCATTTTTAATTTTGCAATTATCGTTTGGTTTTGTTACTTTTTCTAACGTTAAAATAAATTTTGTTTAATTAGTAATAAAAATTTTTTTTCAAAAAATTGACCATGTTTTTAAACATAAAAGTTAATTTTTCTCGAAAACGGTCAACTTTAGAGCTTATGACCAAGAGTACCTTTTTTGTGTAGAAAACATTGGCGGTTCGAATGAGCCTCTCGAAATCGTACTTTTTTCAGGGGCGTAGAAGTTGAGGAGAAAAACACCCGCTACCCCTTCAAAATCTCCACCAATTATGAGGAAAAATAAATTTTTTCTGTCACAAAACATAGCTTATTATGAGTAGAAAATGCTTACAAAAGCTGTTTTTTGTACGATAAACGGTTCCAGAGATAATCGAAAAAAACGATTTTTTTTCTAAAATTTCAACACCCTGTATCTCGAAAATTGTTCATTTTAGAGGGTAAGTTAATAGAGACTTTTTTCATCTTTTTGGTTGAGCTATCACATCCTGAAGTCCTGCGCATATATTATGAAACACCCTGTATATATTGTTTTTATTTATATTTTTGTGCAATAAAGAATATTATTAT